CATTCACCTGCCAGCCTTCTCTCCCCCTACTGCACACACACAAACCCCCCCCCCCCCACCCAGCCTGATCACCACCAGTGCCCTCCCCTCCTGGCCTGATCGCCCCTGACCGCCTCTCTTGGCCCAGCTGCCATGGCTTTGTCTGGAAGGACATCAGGAAGGTCTCCAAGTCTAATTAGCATATTAGCCTTTTATTAGAATAGATAATACAACTTTCTCTAGAATTTTTAAATGTGTAAGAAACCTACAAGGAAACTGTCCTACAACCACGGTCTTTTATCCTCTGAAGTCAGGGCTTGAAAACCAGTAACTTAGCACGTAAAACTTGCTGCCCTGGAGGTAGGAAAGTTCTAGAGAAGCAGACACTCTCAGGGGCAAGTGTCAGATTAAATATCAAAATAAAACTGAATAGGCAGATGAAATTTTCATTTCGACATTAAACCTCTTCCCAGAAAAAGGAAAAAATGTGTATAGGGAGGAAAAAGATAAATGGTGGTTTTTTTGGTTGCAAACTGCACCCCACCAAATAAAAATAAAAAAATGTTGTCAATGAAGAATGTAATCACAAATAGCTTTATAAATAGCTGAAAATATTGCCTTGCTTATAAATGAGGCTAGATTTTCAGAACATTAAAAAATTTTTTCATATACAATGGGCTATCTGGCAACAATGAAGGCTACGTTTTTGCTAAACAGCAGGACACAGTCAATGTTTTCAGTATGATAGTTCAGAAGATCCCACTACTGTGAGAAATCCTAATCTCATACTATTTCAAGAGCTCACATAGAAAATCCATAAAAAAGTCGGGGTAAAAATGAATAGCTATGAAACTCCAACTCTTTCGTAGTTTCTTCATAACCCTTATATTTCTTCCCTGGCAAAACCCCAAAGAAAAGAAGTCCTTGCAAAAACATCAGTTGCCTCCTGGCCTCATAAGCCAAGTAACAGTTCTATCCAAATCATCCTTATATGCTGCATCGGTTTTAGGCTCTGTCAGTTCTCATATATTTTTAGCAAGTATTTTGGGGCAGGAACACCTCTTAAAGCCACTTCTTTCCCTATCCTGCCAGGCTGCCGACCTTGTGTTTTGAACTTTGCAGACTAGCTCTGGCTCGGAGGGTCTAAAGCGCTGCCCTGAGCTGTCAGAACACAAGAGAAGAAGGGGCCCCAGAAGAGCTATGTCTTTGTAGTGGGCACCAAAAATACCTGAATCCGCTCTCAAAACAATTCTCTACTTGGTTCTGTTTAAAAATCTCCAGCAATCTGATTGGCAGCATTCACAAAAGCATCCACATATGAGAGACACAAAAGCTGATAGTACATGTAATATGCAAGGGGCAAGTACCTTCCCCAAAAACCTGTCCTTCCATATTAGCTCTGCTACCTCACTGGCATGTTCTTGGCCTCCCATCTGACACCCATCCCCCACTGGCTGACTCATTTTTTACACTGAATATTTTATAAATGTATACAAGAGCTTGGATGCCCAAGAGCGTTAACAATAACATCTCCCACAGTGAGATATTACAATCAGGTTAAGAAATGAAAGGAACAAAAATACAGAGAATACTTTTAGAACTAACACTGTGGCCTGACGTATTCAAAGGCCCTGAAAAACTTGCATCTCAAGATCAACATTTCAGAAGCAGAATTCTAAATATTCATAAGCAACCAGATCTTTCCTGAGCTCATCTGCTCACTCAATGCAACGAAACTAACCCTAGTCAGGTAGATAGCTACTCATAATAAAGTACTTTGAAGGGAAAACCAGATTATAACATTTAACCCTAAAAATTTTATTTCATAAACCTATTTATATGGAGACAGGCTCTATATCTAAAAGTGCAGATTTCAAAATTTTTTCTTTGCCATTTGGGGGATGGAAAAGCATCCCTGATTTGTATATTAAAGCGCAAGCATCTGTCCTACTGATGATATTCCAGGGAAGCACATTAGCATAAAATTTAACGATGTCAAATAAGTGGATGTGAAATAGGGACTGCGTAAAGACACTATTTCCAAGGCTGACAGAAACATCACTGTTTAGAAATGCAAATGAAACCATTATGTTCAATAATTATATGAAAATATGAACAGTTCAGCATGTTTTCCAGCCCTGATGGCGGTTAATGGGATGTATGCTTATGTAAATAACTACTATTAAAGCTAATGCTGAAAAAAACTAATAAATTCATACTAAAGCAACTGATTTAGTATGCTTTTAAACCCCAGCAGTGCTCACTTATTAGAAAAGAGTGCATTATTATGTTTAGAACTCATTACTGCTACAAGTCACTGCAACTCCATCAATTACCATGCATTAATGAAAATGGGACACATACAAAAAAATTATTGCCTCTCAGCAGTTTTTTTTTTTAAAGACAAAATCTAGGGGTATTACCGTCATGGGGCCTTGTAGGGAACTTATCCACACTATAATCTTTATTACTAAAATGGTACTCCCAATACTATCATTCTAAGGTATTTTGACCATAAGAAGGTCTAACCTTTATGTAAAAATAACAACATTTTACAAAATTGACCATTTAGCACGAATAAAAAATTTTTAATATCTGAATTGCATTTTTAAAAACTTTTATTAACACATATGTGGCAGTTGGTCCATTTTACAGTATTTCTTTTATCCTTACCTGAGGCTATGTTTATTGGTTTTAAAGAGGGAGAAGTGGAGAAATAGAGGGAGGAGGGGATGGACGGAGGGAGGGAAAAAAGGAGGAAAAGAGGGGGGGAGAAAAAGAGAGAGACTGCTTCCCATATATAAGCCCCTGACCCAGAAAAGGGATCTAACCTGCAAGCTAGGTATGTACCCTGTTGAAGAATCGAACCAGCAAATTCTTGGAGTACTGGACAATGTTCCAACCAACTGAACCACCTTGCCAGGGCAGACAGTTAATTTTTTTCCCCAAGGGAGGCCAAGAAGTGAAAATACACAGTGGTAGTCATACCAGTATATAGAGTTAGATGGCCTCATTCAAATGTAACAGATAAAATCCCACCCAGTTCTACATTTATGTCTCAGTGAATTCTGTGCAATGAAGGGACTGGATTTTTAAGAACAAACCTAAAATTTCCTTCTTGGCTACAAGATGGACTTTCTTGCAATATATTAAATATTGCAAGATATTAAGAAGCTGAAAAGACCTTGTTTAAAATTCAAGTTTAACTTGCACCTAACAGGAAAGAAATGCTGATGGAGCAGGAATGCAAATATATAAACACCTTTGCTCTCACTCTATTTGTGTCAACTTTCACAATTTATTCTGTTTCCTTCACATATATAATTAAACTAATCTTTCATTCTTTTTTCACATCCAGGAAAACAGAAAGCACTTCAGTGCCTACTAAATGTTAAAAATATTTGCTAAACCTCAGACATACTCATGTTATATAAAATGAGTATATGTTTATTTTGAAATTATTACAGTCACATTTGCAGTTTTGGCTCTCATTATTTCTTCGCCTCTCAAGAAGCTTCTCTTGCAATTTAGATATACTCACACCAGGTGGTGGTAGAGTGCAATGATGTGCAGCTCTAATAGCAAAATGCAAGTTTTCTCTCAAAAACAGTAAAATGCAGACATTCTCTGATCAAACACCACAGATTTAACAATTCATTCACATAACAGGTATTTTTTGAGTACATACTGAGTATCTGGTAACAGGTCTTGCATAAGATTCTCAGTGTACAATAGTGCACAAGGCAGAAATAATGTCCCATGAGGGAAACAGACAATAACTAAATGTATAATGAATGCCAAGTGCCCTCAATAATCTAAGCCCATTCACAGCTATAAAAACAAAACAAAAACTTCTTATCAAACTGAAATGAAGCAAATTCCTCAGTGTGATCAAAGATACCTAAAAAAAAAAAAAAAAAAAGGATAGCTCAGTTGGTTAGTGTGTGGTTCCAAATATGCCAACGTTGTGGGTTCAATCTCCAGTCAGGGCCCTCACAAGAAGCAATCAATGAATGCATAAGTAAGTGGAACAGCAAGTTATTGTTTCTCTCTCTCTTCCTCTCTAAAATCAATCAATAAATAAAAACTTTTTTAAACCTATAGCTAACATCAATCTTAAGGCTGAAATTACACATTTCTCCTAAAACATGGAGTTCAAGAACAGGGTGTTCTTTCTCATCTTTTATTCAATACATAACTGGAGGTATTGCAGAAAGACAAGAAAAAGAAAGAAAAGGCTTAAAGATCAGGAAAGAACGAAAACTATTTTTATTTGCAGATGACATAATTGTTCTCACATAAAACCCTAAGGAATCTGTGAAAACAACTATTAAAATTAACAAAGTGAGAATTTAGTATGGTCAAAGATAAAATCAGTATAAAAATTTAACTATGTTTCTAAATCCAACAACTGACTTCTTGCTGACTAGAATATGCACATGATGGCTGAAGCTTAGAATGCCATGACTCTCTCAAATCAATGGAGTCATCCCCTGCCTTGCGCCAAAACTCAAATGTCTTTTACAAGAAAGAGGAATAAACATCTATCTTGCTTTTATTACTGTTACTTCAGCATTTCTTGCTATAAAACAAGAAAGCTTGATCCTGACACAGATTCATAAAACATCCTTTAGCAGGTTCCATCTAATCCTAGCCTTTTCAGTTTTGTTTCTGCATTAATTTCCTTGAGATCTGTTCTATGCCTTGTCAAAGCAGCACATAATGAATGGTGAGATTCCTTAGTAATTCCTGCCTGACTTCTTTAGCAACAAGCTTTCTTGAATTGCTTTAAATATTTTTTAAAGGATGCTCCCTCATAAATCAAAAAACATTTTGCTTCAAAACTATACTGTCTCTTCAAAAATTAATTACTGTAAACTTTATCATCAATTCCTCCCTGTGGTTAGCATTAATACCTAAGTATTTTTAAGAGAACAAAATAATCTTTAAGTATGGTTTTGGCATTCACAAAAGGGTCAAACTTCCTGCACATTAAAAAAGAGAACTTTCAAAAAGGATATCTTCCCTCTCTTTGATGATCAGTTCATTCTGTTCTTCCAACTGCCTGATCTTCTTCTCAAATGATTCCTGCTCAGCTTTGAGTCGTTCTTCGGTCACTTCCTTTTCCTCGCTTACTCTAAAAGAAATAAAGAAATGAAAAGAAAATGCCTATGAGAATACAATACAACATGTGCCTACAGCTGCAGTTTACCCAAAGTAGATTTCTCCAGAGTATGCTTACCTCTTTCAAAGGTTTCTTCAGGGCTACTTTATGTATTTTTTTAACTAACCTTATATAAGGCAAACTTTTACAGCTGTCCAATAAAACACGCATGTGAGTTTAAAATCAAGAATGTTTCCAATCATCAAAAGTATCTTAAATATGTAAAGTCCAACATAAGACACAGGCTCCTAGTTATAATCTGGGACAGAAAAATATCTAATTTTTAAGACATTAGGTTTCATTTCTTCATTATCAAAATAGGCACAATCAATTTATTTTAATTTAGATATTTTGTACTTTCATTTAAATCCTGTCAATGACATAAACAAATATAAATCACTTAAAATTTCACTAAAAAGCCGAAACTGGTTTGGCTCAGTGGATAGAGCATCAGCCTGCGGACTGAAGGGTCCCAGGTTCGATTCCATTCAAGGGCACGTACCTTGGTTGCAGGCACATCCCCAGTATGGGGTGTGCAAGAGGCAGCTGATCGATGATTCTCTCTCATCGATGTTTCTAACTCTCTATCCCTCTCTCTTCCTCTCTGTAAAAAAAAAATCAATAAATATATTTTTTTAAAAATTCACTAAAAATACATAAGCAATTTTATCCTTTTTTTCTGGAACTAATACTCTGTATTCCTTAGTAGCATATAAATAACTACATTGGAATAAAAACACAGCATTAGCATAAAGCTTGCACTATATTTATTCTTAGTCCAACGATAGGGTGGTGAAGGCCTGGGGTTGGGTTGGGATAGAAAGGGTCCATGGCGGGGGGGGGGGGACATATATAATGCTTTCAACAATAAAGATTTTTTAAAGGATTTTAAAGTTAAAAAGACCGGCCAATAATTTTGATTCTTTAATGTCTAATTCTGAAAAGTATTCCAATTTGATATTATCAGAAAGGGGTGGTTCCTAACAAGAACAAAGAAGAAAACAAATCTTTAAAAAAAAACATGAAAACAGCTAAACAACAACATTAAAAGTTATCTTAAAATGACAGCCCCAATTTTCATGTTTGTCTGTGCACAGAGATGCTAGCCCTGAATTTCTGTTACTGGTGCCTGTTTCTCCAAAGAGAATACAACGCTTATCCACAGGGCCACAAAGGATGTGTGTGAGTGAAAGCCACGTCCTTCCTCTGAGCTCCCACCTTCACCTTCTCTCAGAACCCTCCTCTATCAGAACAATTTCTGAAGAACATGAACTCCATAGCTTTTCCTTTCTTGCTAGCCTTCCGGTGAAGATATTAAAATCAATGATATAACACAATGAACATTAGAATTTTTTGAATGTTCAAGATTGATTGCTTTTCTTTGAAATAATATGTGTGAAATGCATGGCACACAATAGTGTTCAAAAACAGGTTTATTTCTTCTTGCTCATCTTGACAATTAAAATAATTTCCTCAACTATATTATTTATGGCTAGCATCATATGAGGCCCATGAATGGGACTCAGGCCCCTCTTCCTAAGAGGGTTATCTTTAAAACTGATACAATTACAAGGAATCCAAACAACAAAGAACGAATATACCTAAATGAAGAGGATTTCTACTCTGGTCTCAGGTAATCTTCCTGCCTCCCTTGTAGATGGCCACTTTTACGTTATTATGGAGGCATACCCCAACATTTATTTACTCCCTTTGTTCAGCCTGAAAGAGATCCATGAAAACTCCAGAGTTCATTGAGGGAGTAAAAGTTGTACACACATCCCATAATTCCAGAGTCTATGATGAGCTTTTCCCAAAACTTGAAGTGCTGTATCCTGAAAAATCACTCCTTTTAAAATTTAGTTTCTGGAGTATGTTTGAAAAATGTATCACTAAGCTATTTAAACAGGCCTTTTTTTTGGGGGGGGGGGGATCTTTTTTGTTATGCTGCTTTATTAGACTACCCGTTAGCAATTATAATATTATGCTCTGGGAGGCTATAAAATTAACAAGCTGTGGTAAGTACAAAGCATAAGTCTTCCTCCACAGGCCTATCTAAAGATACTCACAGCTTCTTTGTGGCCTATTAGCATAGTTAATATAAGCAAGGATATTAATACAGCCTTTAAAGGCAGAGGACTTGCCAATAAAACAACCTCAAGATTTGATATCCACTCTGAAATCTGTCTTCTTGTTTAATTTATGTTCAATAATATTTCCCATGAGGTATATATAAGAGAAAATATCTGGTATCCTGATCTACATTTTTCATCAAAGCATGCTCAGACCACAAAGTAACATAAAAAGACCCAATTCTCTATCTCATTTAGAGTAAGAGCAACAAGTTAATTAACAAAATGAGAAGCTAAATACAGGAAAGGGAAATGACTGACTAATAGGATAAAACAGTTAAAACTGACAAGAGCATATTCCCAGAGTTGGTTTGTTAATTATTTACAAAGAGGACAATAGCCTGTTCATAAAGTAAGATTGTTAGCATTTAGTTAATGCCTCAGAGTATATATCAAAAACTTCCACAAAATGTATTTTTATCTAACAAGAAAAGGGAACTCATACCCTTAGAGCTGGGTGCTTGGGCTAGAAATTGTGCTGCAAGTACTGAATATCTTTGAAGTCTTAAAATTGAAGTCTTAATTTTTTATTGTACTGAGATGTACATTTAATTATGACAAAAATAATTAGTTACAAAAAAACACGGAATAAATATAAAATAATAATGATCTACTTATACTACAATAGGAAACTAATGATGTTACATTTCTATTTTTCTTCTGAGAATGTCAAGTAGAAACAGCAAACTGTCCTTTGGGAAAAATCAGTATCTGAGCCTAAAAAAGAACCAGTCCTCAAATGAGTTAGTGCACAAGTATTCACTGGGGAACCATGCATCTCTGACAGTGTGGGCACAGGACAAGAAATAGTGGAGATGTTTTTAGGCTTCTTCGAATATGGCTCATATAAAAAAAAAAATGCAATGTGGCCAAGATTATTTTAAAACTTTTTTTCTTTAAAAACTAAGCTATAGTAGTTTGTGCATTAGTCTATGGCAGCAATTTTCAACCTTTTTCATCCATGGCATACACACGCTAATTACTAAAATCTGCTGCACACCAAAAAAATATATTTTTTGCCAATCTGGCAAAAAAAAAAAAAAGGTATAATTTTGATTCAGTCATACCAGACGGCTATTGTTATGTTGGCTGTTGTCATATTTTTAGAGAAACATCTATGAAAGAGGGAAACATTGATCTGTTGCCTCGTGTACACCTCCTACTGGGGATGGAGTCCGCAACCTGGGCATGTGCCCTGACTGAGAATAGAACCTGCAACCCTTGAGTACACGGGATGATGCTCAACCAACTGAGCAACACTGGCCAGGGCAGTTGTCATTTTTTAATATGACATTCTAAGGGAAAAGAGGTCAGTGCCCTTGACTAAAAGGCCTGATATTACATGTTTTAAAAATTCTTGCAGAACACCAGTTGCCACAGCACACTGGTTGAAATAGCTGGTCTACAGTAACCTCCCCATCTTAAAAAGTCTCAGTAAAAATTAAATACCGTAAATAAATAAATAAACAAACAAACAAACAAATAAATAAATAAATAAAAATGCAAATGCATACACAAGGAAGTCGCCATCTCTCAGCACTAACTACAATATTTTGCAGAGTCATTCATTTTTCAAGTCCCCATAAATTGCACTACTTTTCCCACCAATGCAAACAATTCATTAATTTTAGTATTAAAGACTTTCTGAGATCACTTAATTCAGCAATTTTGAACAAAAAGAAATCTTCCTATCCTTATGCCTCCAAAAATGATCAATCAATATTCCACTTTTTCTTCTGCAAATGTAAATCAATGCTAGACACCTCGGGAAATGTGATCATTTACTTCGAGTCCATATATTATTATCAAGTCATCTTTTACACTCTCTTCCACCAGCTAAATAATTCATAAAATCCCTGGTATCTATTCCCCATTAGCCTATTAATTTGTATGTGTACTCCATTCTTTTATTAGTGTAGTTAACACAAGTAAAAAAAGTTCCCTGAGCATATATAGATTATTTAAGGAGGCATCTGCAGATTATTAACAACTCATACTATATTTTTTGGTTTTTTAAATCTATTTGGTTTCTTGCCAAATAGCACTATATTCCTTACTCATGTTCAGGCTAAACTGAACTATGAACCATGCTTATTTTTTTAATGTACTAGGCCTAATCAGTAAATCTTTCTCTTAAGTGAATTTCTATTTTATTTTTATTCTTAGGCATATAATATCCTGCATTTGTCACTATTATCTTACAGCCTGTTTGAATGAATCTATTTTCTAACCTATTAAGCCAATTCTTAAATCTTATTTATACCTTCGGTTAACATTTATTTTCGTTTAGTAACATCAGTATATCTTATAAGCATCTTTTTGCAACTTTCACACATAGTACCAATAAAGATAATGATTAAAATGGACCTCACAGCTAGATTCTCAATGGAATAGGTAAGATACAGGTAAGCCAGTCTTAGGATTTAGACATATACAGTTTTCCCATTAACTTTGTTAAAGGCTATGTGTTTTTTAAAAAAGGCTAATGCTTTGGTAAGACTGTTTTTCACCTCAAAGTCACCATTAAAAAAAAAAAGCTATAGTTTTCATTTGGTTTTATATTGCATGTCACTCTATAATTGAAAAACATGCTATTTGTTTTGTACGTTTTGCTGAGAGCTACTGGATATTTATGATTCCGAAAATATGCCTGTTAATGGTCAGTGTTTGTGCTAAGCACTCTGACTTCTCCCCTAAAATAATGTTGGTGCATCTTCATAATAGCGGAAATTCATTAAGTATGCTATACTTGAATATATCATAGAAATACACAGGTTTTCTAAATCTCCTGACACTTTCTCCATTTGCCTTGACTTTTACACACCAAAGTTTTAAATAAATAATACATGGGTCAAAGAAGTCTCAAAAGAATTTTTAAAAAATACATAGGGCTGGATAAAAATGAAAATACAAAAATCAAATATGTAGGAAGCATTGAAAACAATAATGAGAGAGAAGTTTTTAGCACTAAGTTTCTACTTTAAGAAATAACAAGAAAAAGAACAAAATAAATCCACAGCAACAGAAGAAAGGAAATAGAGTTAAGAGCAAAAATCAATATAATTGAAAACAGAAAAAAATAGAGAAAAATCAATAAAACAAAAAGCTGCTTCTTTGAAAAAAAAATCAATAAAATTGATAAAACTAACAAGGCTGACAAAATTAAAAAAGAGAGAAGGTGCAAATCAATAATACCATAATGAAGCACTACAGGCTTTGCAGTCATTAAAAAGATAAGAGAATACCACAGACAACTTCATGTTCATAAATTTGACAACTTAGGAAAATGGGACCATTCTCAAAAACCACAAACTCCCAAAACTCAATCAAGACAAAACAGACAGCTTGAATAATCTTGTAACCATTTAAAAAAAAAAAATGAATTTGTAATTAAAAAGCTCTTTAAAAGAAAGCTCCAGGCCCAGATGATTTCACTGGAGAATTCTATAAAATATTTACAAAAGAATAAACCAATTTTATACAATTTCTCCTAGAAAATAGAACTCTTCCCAATTCATTTTATAAGGCTAGTATCACCATGATACTAAAAACAGACTAAGCAAAAACAAACAAACAAACAAAAAAACTATAGACAAATTACTCTCATGAACATCGATGTACAAATTCCAAACAAAATAATAAGAAAATCAAAATTAGGAATGTATAAAAACTATGATAAAAACTGAGATTTTTACAGGTAGCAAAATCAACATTCAGAAATCAATTTGTATAATCCACCATATCAACAGCTAAAGAAGAAAATACATAATCTCACATTAAAATAGGCTCAAAAAGTGTTCCACAAAATCTACCATACAATCATAACAAAACCTCTTATAAAGGTAGGAATATAAGAAAACTCCCTCAACTTTATGAAGAGCATCTTTAAAAAATCTACAGGTAATATCATACTTAAAATCACACACACACCCTGAAAAACCCAAATTGAAACAAACACTGCAAAATAGATAACCAGTATTCTTCAAAAGTATCAAAGTCATGGAAGGCAAGGACACACATGAAGAAGACCAAGGAAACATGAAAACTGAACACAAACGTGATACTGGAGCAGGAAAAAATATACTAGTGAAAAAAACTGGTGAAATCTGAATACTCTGTAATTAATATTATTGGACTAATGTTAATTTTTGACAATTGAATTATTTATTCAGGGTAATAAATTTAGAAAAAGTTATGTGAAAGGTATAAAAGCCTTCTATACCATTTAAGAGATTTATTGAGATATCTTACATATAATAAAGTTCAATCATTGGGTACAATTCAATAGTTTTTAGTATATTTAGAGTTCTGTAAACACTAAATATAATTTTAGAACATTTCATCCTATCAAAAAGTACTCATTCCTCTTTCTCCCAATATTTTTTCAAATTTTCTATAAGCCTAAAATTATTTCAAAATAATACAAAAAAGTAATAATTATATTACATTGAATTAAAACTTATATAAATATAATTTTTGACACACTATATAATGACATAATCAAGAAAGGAAAATGACATTCATGTGTTCTAAAGTTCTTAAATTTTCTCTCTTATATAACAATGCATCTCATATACGGTTTGTCTCACCTGGCCAGTTCTTTAATTAAATTTGCAATGCGTCTTTTGTCTTCAAGGCATAAATCCTTTAATGATGCACTCTTCATTCCTCCCTTGCAGAAATTCTGAAACAGAAAAAAAAAACTTTCGTTTAACCTTTACTAAAAACAATTTTAAGACTCTTCAATAAATTTCTTAAAATAAGTACAGAAGTGAAACTTGCTAGATACCTTGATCTTGTGGAAACACTAGTGGCCTGTTTCATTTAAAACTGACTATGAACTCAAAACAGGCTAAGGCACTGTCTGCCCGTCAGAGGACATCATGAAATTTACACAGAAAAGCAGACAGAAAGAACTCAAAGCAGGAATGCCCCTGCCTACATACTAGGGGATATTTTAAAAAACAACTCTCCCTTGGTTGAGTGCTACAGAAAAAAACACCCAATGGAAGACACTGAGAACCTTTCTTACATCACAGCCCAGCTTAAAACTACGGTTGGCAGCAGCTGCTCCTGTTCTAGCCTCTCAATAACCCGAGGTTCATTCCAAAGGGTACTAGGCCAAAGAGTAAATAATAATAATAATAATATTCTTAAATAGCTAATAATATCTAGTGCTTACTACTGCCAGGAATAGTCTAAGTACTTTACACTTATTAATCCATCTTATTTCTGCAAATAATGCTATTAGGTAGGTATTATTCTTATTTTAAAGTGAGGATATTTATCTTGTCTAGTATTAAGAAGCAGATCAAGACCAAGTTCCAGAGTCTGTGCTTTAACCACTGTACTATCCTGTCTCCATGCTATAAAAAATTCTTGACATTATTAACAGGATTTTTAAACCATGAAACTCGGGGAGTCACAAGGGAACTGGAGGTAACATGTAAAAGGAAGGAAGTATAATCCTTGACATGTATGCAACTGCAAAATAGGTCAGCCCAATTATTTCTGGAAGTCAAGAATAATCCAAGACCCTTAAAATGAAACATGGAAATACTGAGAGCCAAAGACAGGAAAGAGAAGAGAAGAGAAAATGAGCAAGGAATGGTAAGAAAATAAAATAAGTTTGGTTTTAGATACATCAGGCCAATTTAAGATACCAGGAAGACATGCATATTGAAATGTTTAGGTAGAAAGTCGGAAATGTGGGTCTGGCTCTCAAGTCAGAAAAAAACTAAGATTTAAAACTGAGCTATATGATATTATGGAGGATGTTTAGATTTTTTATTATTTTCATTATACCTTTGTTTTAAAATTTTCCTTAAAATTAAGAAAATATTATTTTTTAAAAAGCATCTACAAATCCAAGAGAAAAAAAAGTCTGTCTAAAAGAACAAGAGGAGAATCGGAAGCATAATATATTGTGGGAGAAAGAAAAGAAAAAGTTTCAAGAAAAGTGTGGGGTTAACAGTGCAAATGACTGAAAAGCTAACAGAATGTGAAATGATGCCACTGGATTTACAATGGGCGAAGCTGCTGATAACCCATGAAAAGACATTTCAATACAGGTGCAGTAAATATAAAACAAACAAAAGATTTTAGCAGCATTGTATTTACCAATAACAGCAAAAACCTGAGAATCAGGTTTTATTCACTGTTCACTAGAGCAGTGTTTCCCAAACTTCTCTCATGAGGAGAATCACCTGGTGGAGTTGTTAAAATAGAGATTCCTGAATCCCAACTAAGAAGTGCTAAACTAGAATTTTTGGGAACATCTAGGTAAAATAGTATACTTACAATTGTATACTAAGCTTAGGGCACTAGTTAAGTATACAATTTTACCTAGATGTTCCCAAAAATTCTAGTTTAGCACTTCTTAGTTGGGATTCAGGAATCTCTATTTTAACAACTCCACCAGGTGATTCTCCTCATGAGAGAAGTTTGGGAAACACTGCACTAGAGAATGATTTCACTGTGGTATATTTATTCAATGGAATGCCATAGGTTCTGGTTGCTATGCTACTGACTTTCATTTTCAAATCCACCCTTCCACGCTCTGTGTTGTGATGCTGGGGCTGAGCCTCTGGACACCACCTTTCTTCTTTGCCACGTGACTCTCTCTTAAACTCTGCCAATGCGAAGAACTAGAGGGAGACCAGGGCTTGTTAGAGAGAGAAAGGACACATCCCTTCCTATTTGCTTCCTTTTCCGCCAGTCTCAGCCTGGCAGGAACAGCTGATTCTATTTTGCAATTTCTCGTGCCCTCAGGGAACCAGCCTTCCTTTATCCTGTTTCCTCAGGGACAGCAGTCAGGCTGGTTCCCCATCACCAGAGTCCAAGTGCCAGTTCTGAGGGGTTCATCCTCAAAACTTCCATGCTTTAATAATTCCAACTTGTCCCATCTGTTCTCCCAGCCCTAGAAATGGTAACTGCTTCTTAGAGATAACTGAGTATTTTCTTTTTGTCTTTTCAGTTCTTCAGCACCAATGTAGCAAGTATTTAGTATTTTCAGTTAAGATAAATGACTAAATCCTAACTGAAATACCAGTGAAAAAATGAAATATAACTATATACAACATAAATAAATCTCATGAACATAACATTGAGTAAAAATGCAAATCACACACTATACAAAGTATAAGCTCATTTATATAAGGTTTCAAAAAGTTATAAAATTAAATATTCTTTAAAAAACAAATATATTTTGACAGCGGTCAGTAACCAACAGCTACAAGCCAAATCTGGCCCACCCTGTCCATTAAAATGAACATTCATCTACACACTGATACTTACCTACACGGCTCTATTCACAGGACAGTGGCAGAGCTGAATACTTGAGACAGACACTATGTGGCTCATAAAGGCTAAAGTATTGACTATCCGGCTCTTTACAGAAAAAGTCTTTATGATATTCTTTTCCAAGTGAAGAAAATAACAACAACAATAATAATGCGAGCTAATTTTCTTTTAATAAAAACACCTTTCGTATATTTTAGGGCTTATTCATCATTAACTAACAAATTCAAGTGAACAGAAATCATAAAGGACACCTAACCAAAATACAGCTGTTGTGGATTTGATTTACTAACTCCACACAGATCAGAATGTAGGTCTTTTGAGACATACCAAGATAATACATTTTCTTAATTAAGATTTAAAGCAAGCCCAAATATTTTGGAGCTAAATGCTTTATATTCATATAAGCATCATCAAAACATGCAAGAATCCTCTGTAGCTTTTCAGAATGTGTACAGATGACCTAATGTTCTTTCAAGGACTCTTCTGCCCACATACATCAGTGCTGGTCATGTGGTCTCTGAGAAAGACGATACCCTACCAAGGAGAACTCAAGGTGACTTAACTGAGCTTAACGTAAAACAATAACAAATAAAAAGGTGGAGCCTACAAGTCATTTCTGAACATACAAAGTGCACTTCATGGAGAAGCCTGCACTAAGCTTCCTGCCTCCTTCACTGAACTGCCTTCCTGCAACGAGTTCCTGCCATCTGAGCCACCCAGATAGAGGAGTTCCTGGAATCCTGTTCTAACCAAGTGGGCTGAAGCATCTCAGGCTTACTCAAATGACCTAGTTGTATCACCTTCAACAGCTTCACCACCCAATACAGCAGCTCCATCCTAACCAATGAGGACAGTACTTTTTGGACCAATACTGCGAGTATTTGGAGTCCTCATTTGCATGAGGACAGATCAATCAGGACCAGGGTAGGGACTTGAGTCATTTTAAACCAGCTCCCTTCTGGCTCTGGGCATGCACTTTCCATTTCCACCTAAGATTGAAAACTGCATTTCTCAGGCTGGAGGTGAGACCCCGAAGATGACTAACCAGAGCAGAGCAGAGCAGAGCAGAGGCGACTGGTGCAGGGTGAGGTGGACCTAAGCAGGTAGAAAAGACCAAAATTGAGCAGAACTGCCTCTCCCAAAAGGGCCTCACCCCAGGGCCACCCTGCCCACTACTTCTTCACAGCCATGCTGTTTTCATAGCTCTGATGCATCACAATGGAGCTGTTTCACATTGTTTTTTTCTTCATTGCAACCCAAATCAGGAATTCCTGTTGGCATTGAACTGGCACCAACAGCCATCAATTGACAGTGCACAAAGAAAAATTAGTAACTGACCAACATTTATAAAAAATTGTAGAATGAGAACAAAACAAATAAATTACTGACCTGTTCACTTACGAAATCTCCGGCACCTTTTAAAGACTCCATGGAGATTGAAGCAGCGGTCACCTTGGAAGTCTTAACTTTAACATTAGCTTTTGGACTCATTGACTTGTGTCTTGATCTGATATTTCCTTCTGTAGAGATCCCTAAGGATTTGCATTAAAGAAGATTTCAAAATTATAACTTCTCATTCTCTAAAGCGCTCCCCCCACCCCAATCAAGTCTTCATTGATATCCTCTATTTTATAGGATGTAATACGGAAAACTCTTACTTCATCTTAAGGCCCTCTTAATTAATAATGAATCATGAAAAAAATATGTTTTGAATATATTAAGATTCAACTGAAATATTTTTAAAAGGTGCTGGCACATTCAAATGTCATATTGAAACCAATAAATAAAACATGCCGCAAATACACTCACTTAGGGAAATTAAAAACCTGATTTGTCACATAATTGGGGTACTTTCAATAGTCCAGTTTTACTCCTCATCTGTAAAACTTAAAAGAATCTATCACATAAGCTTTATGTCAAGTTTCCACACTTTTATTTGAAATATTAAATTTAGGCTCTTATTTGTAAAAATAAATAATAAGAAAATCTCTTGCTCCCTAATACATAAAGTATAAGGCAGTGTTTTGAACCCTAAAAGGGTTTCTTTAATTTTTTAAATTTTATTTTAGGTTCTAATGAACTGTTCCGCATTCAGTTATAACTACAAAGGTATCCTAATGTTTCATTTTCCTCTTAACACTTAAGAAGCAAATGAAGCTTAACAAATTAACATAGAAAATCATACCTGGCACATATACTACTGATTGTTCTTCATCAGAAACTATGCAGAAAAAGACATGAAGGAAAATACTAGGAAACATTTGCCATCATCCAAATGCTACTATGGTTCGGTACTTTTGTTATAATTTGTAATTTCTATTTGACCTTGGAATTTAGTTTTTAAAAGTAACACTAGAAAGCAAAGTAATTGAATTAATGCAGCAAAGTTAATATTATTTTAAAGTTCTTTTTATATAATCACAACTATATGTTTTATAAAAGTTTTGGAAGGCCTTGTTCTATAAAACTTTTATTCATGCTTATTCCCAAGGGAGCTATCCTATACTATAAATTCTGCTGTGCTGTCATTCCATTGCCTTTGTAAACCACGAGTTCAGTGCCCCAGTTCACTCATTACTGGAAAACTGACAAGTTATTCTAGGCATGAATAAGTAATTTCAAAATGAGCTTTATCTTTGAAAAACAAACACTGTTTGAGGGCAAGTCAATCATACAAACACAGAGGCATTTTTCTATTCTTCGTAGTGCATATGTGTAATGTCCCACGAGGTCCTACTATTTAACAAGTGGAAGAAACTCAAGACAAAAAGAAGTACAGATAATAACACTGCTTTAGAAGACAACCATTACAATAAAAAAGCATTCTTCCAGAAACAAAATTTTAATCAGAACCATATCTAAATCCAGATATATGTACAGTTTGATAACATTTGCCAGAAAGAAGCAACTGAACATTTTTTCCACTGACTGACAACATTCTAAAGTTCTCTGTTATTTGATAAAATGTTTTCTTTTCCAAGATTTCCAAACAAATCAATTACGAGCTATTTCATTCCAGGCAAAGAATGGAGTAAAACAGTAGATTTAATAACATGTTCAAAAAGTCCATGTATTTCAGCTCACGATCAACCTTTGTAATGGAATCTTCTCAGAAAATGCTGAGTAGCTATGCCTAGGATCCCCAATGGAATTTGGGAATGCAAAGATGATGTCTGCAGCTTGAGCTGCCAGCTGGTTTCTAATCGCTTTCCAGAGCAGCATAAACACTCGCACAGCTTCAAGGTTTTGGCTGATAACTAGTGCCCCTAAACTTCAATCCCCTCAAATCTCAGGGATGGAGCTGGTATTTTAAGAGGCACATAAGACAAGTAAGCATACAAAAATTAGACACCACCACTCCTAGAAAACTGAGAGCAACTAACACAGGAGCAGAGAGAGAATTTATAGCCTCACTAACATCCAAGCTATAAAAGACCTTACAAAATGAAATTGTGCAGGCTCTATTTGATAGCAAAAACTGATTCTTTTTTTTTTTTTTAATCTCTTGGGATCAGCACACACAGTAGGTGCTCAATACATATTTAATTACTTACTGTTGGAAATATACATATGGAATAAAGAACGGGGGGGGGGGGCAGGAATTCAAGATGATTCAGGAATTGTTCCAATTGTTCCATATGACAGTCTTCAATTAGAAGATACAATAATGATGAATGTGCAGACTATTCTCCAAGGATGGCCTGTGGACTAACATAACTGAGTCCTGGAAAAAAGACTACTACATTTCCCTAAATCATCCACAAATAAACTTGCTCACAACTGGAAAAACCAACTATCCCATTCAGCCGCACCTTGATTTGGAAGCTAACCAAGTATATTATAGTTTCCTCTTTGCTCAAATCTAACACCACTTCTTCATCCTTATTGTCAACTAATAACTTTGTTTCTTAAGAAAAGAAACAAATAGCCCGGCCATTGTGCCTCAGTGGTTGAGCATCAACCTATGAACCAGGAGGTCAGGGTTCGATTCCCAGTCAGGGCACATGTCCAGGTTGCAGGCTTGAGCCCCAGTAGGGGGTGTGCCGATCAATGATTCTCTCTCATCGTTATGTTTCTATCTATCTCTCTCCCTCTTTCTTCCTCTCTCTTAAATCAATAAAAATATGTTGTTGTCTTTTTAAAATAAAACAAACAAAAAACTGTACGGACCTTCTCAAGCTTCTATTTGCAGGTGACATTATAAAGACTCCATCTTAAAAACTGTTAAAACTACTGAATGAAATCAGTAAAGCTGCAGGACATAAAATCGATATACAAAATTCTACTTCGTTTCTATAAGTTAATAATGAAATGCCACAGAAATTAAGAAAGAAATCCCATTAAAAAAATACCTAGAAATAAATTTAATTTAAAGTCTAGTACATTGAAATTATAAGATGTTGATAAAAGAAGTTGAAGAAGACACAAAATAAATGGAAAGATATTTCATGCTCATGGATTAGAAGAATATTGTTAAAAATATCCACACTACCTAAAGCCATCTATAGATTTAATGCAATCCAAATAAAAATTCCAATGGTATAACAATCCTAAAATTTGTAAGGAACCACAAAAGATCTCGAATAGCCACAACCTTGAGAAAAAAGAACAAAGCTAGAGACATAACACTTTCTGATTTTAAACTATATTACAAAGTTATCGATATAATAATCAAAACAGTATGATATTGACATCAAAAACAGAGACAAAAAAAAAAAAAACAACAACAACCCATAACAGCTAGCCCTTTCCAGCTTTATTTTTCTCCATAACACCATTATCATAGATTAGGGGTGTCGAACTCAATCAGAGAAGGGGCCAAAATCTAAAATCCAGCCTAAATCGCGGGCCGAATGGTTTACTGAACGGTCATAAACTGTCATTGTGATGGAAACGCAGCGGAGTGCAGTGATGACAGCGCGGTGTGGGCCACATTGCAAGGCCTGGAGGGACGGATTTGGCCCTCGGGCCTTGTGTTTGACACATGTGTCATAGATATTTTACTCATTTCATATCACTGAAGTGGAAGCACTAAGTAGGTGAAGATTTTCATCTTTTGCCAAATGTTGTATCTGCAAACATCATAGAATGCCTGGGTCATAGTAAGGACTGAAACAGATATTTAATTTTATGAGGCATTGTACAAAAAGCTTTAGTGTTATCTTTCTTTCCTTATCTCATTTAAAATATTCAGGTAAAACCCATTAGCTACATCCATGATAAATTTCGTTTCAATATAGAAAATGCTAAATAAACTGACCTTAACAAAAGTTGTTTTTTTTAAATAAGACTAAACATATTTGAAATTGCCTCCATTCTACCTATCTTTTCTAATCACTTCTAACCTATCTTCATTTTAAAACAAAATATATAACAAACTCATAGAAGACCACTTACTGGGTTCTATATGCTACCTTATAATTACACTTTGGTTTCTTTAGAAGCACCTCTATAAGACGCGTACAGCAAATTAGAAAGCACCCTTAATACTAATACCAAATCACAGAATCAATGCAGAAGTTAGAAATCCAAGGCAGAAATGGTAGAGGGGAAACAACTTGTCCATCTCAGGTCACCAAGACCCGAGGGAAATAAACTTAGTACTGTCCACTCTACTCTAACCTTTGAGCCTGAATCACTAACCAGCAACATATGTAATACACATATGTAATTATTACTGGCCACATGACTTTCCTGCTTAATACAGGCATGCCACATTTTATTTGTACTTCACTCAACTGAAGGTAAGGCCCTCCTCCAGAAAAAATATTACAGCTGGCTTTATTGCAATACTCAATGGTCTAGGACAGCACCCACAATATCTCCAAGGTATGCCTGTATATTAAGAATAAACATTAAGCCGAAACTGGTTTGGCTCAGTGGATAGAGCATCAGCCTGTGAACTGAAAGGTCCCAGGTTCGATTCCGGTCAAGGGCATATACCTTGGTTGCAGTCACATCCCCAGAAGGGGGTGTGCAGGAGGCAGCTGATTGGTGTTTCTCTCTCAACATCGGGTTCTAATTCTCTATCTCTCTCCCTTCCTCTCTGTAAAACAATCAATAAATATATATATATATATATATATATATATATATATATATATATATATATTTAAAAAAGATAAACAATAAGTCTATTTGTAATTGAAAGTCAATGGCAAGCATTATAGATATTGCAAAGTTCTGACCAGATGTCTTATAGTTCATATTTAATATCAAGTTACTAATACGGTTACTGATAGTACACCTGAGAGCATTTAAGCAATCAAATTTAAATACTGCAGAAACACTAACTTCTGATATTATCAGGAACTATAACAAAGAAGGAAAACAATTTATGGCTGAAGGGGCATAATTTTACTTGCAGATTTAACACACAGTTATAATAACATGGCATGTCCATTGTTTACATATAGGGTACAAAGACACACTTGTACAAAACAGCATTGCTGAATCATACTGTGCAGGAGATGCATCACTCAACATAAAGAAAAAGAGAGAGAGATGACATTCAGTCACAGATGATCTGTTCTCACATGATGGAAACATCTAGGATGGGAAATCTCTCAATCACACTTCTCTAGTTGTTTAGGGGAAGCACTGAATAATCTTTCAATAGTGAGAAAAGAATTCCAGATTACAGATACATACTTTTTAGTTTTTTCCTTTTGAAAGTTCTACTATAAAGTTTTTGGGGTGGTCTGGGAAGTCTGTGACAAGAAGAGATTAAGATACAAAGACACAACACTAAACCAAATGATTCATAACTATCCCTAATGCTTTTTTTAGTGAAAATCAGTAACACATCCACATTTGATATTGCTTTTCAGTCCTATGGAAATAGAAAATAAAAGTATTTGAGGCTAAATGTTAGATAGCCTGGGGGAAACATCATACTGATAAACTTGAAATCCCTTTCAAATACCTGAATTTCCATAGAATTTAATCACCATCATTTCCCCCATACAATTTCAATGTTTTAAGTTCAATTTATGTACAATAGTATTTTATATAAATATTTCGAGTAAGGGAGAATTTGAGAGAAAGGGGAAGCTATGTAACTTCTATATGAAAAGGGGAGCAATAGGACCACATGGATTAAGTGAGAGTAAAGGGTTGCAGAGTCCAAGAACATAGATTCATTTACCATTAACTTAATCAGAACCACTGTCACAGGCTGTCTCCCTTTCCCCCAAAATCATTTACTCTGCATCAGAACTGCACCACTGCTCATATGTGGCGATGAATGTGATTGAACTGAAGAAGCACATTATAAGTTAATAAACTTCAAAAATCTCCTCTATCGCGAAATTGTATAGCACAGAGGCAGTGTTTCAAGAGAAAAAGGCTCATCCCAGTTTCCTGCCTTCTTCATTCAGCTCAGTTCTCAAGGCACATACTCTTGGCATCCTTATTGACAGGTGGAGGAAAGATGCTTAATCCGCACCGCGCACTAGAGTGCTTTCATCCACAGCGCGTGTACAACTTTCAGTCTCACTAACCTATCTGAGACAAGAGGTAAACACTAAGCACGGACCAGCACGGGATGCAAAAGTACGCCTTGTAAATCCTAGTAACTCAAGGGGAACTGATCATATAATTTTGTTAAGTTTCCCTGGGAGCTCAGTGGCCTGTGCAAAGAAAGAATCCACAAAGTTAGCAGCGATGCCTCCAACAATGCTATCACCAGTCCAGCAAAAACCAGATACAACCGCTCGCCCGCGCCAGGCACCCAATGCACCAATGGCCTTGCTCTCCAAGTAACACTCTTGTAAGGCACACGGAGTAAACGATCAGGACCAGAGCTGGGCTTGGGTCAGGCTGCCCAACCCGGGGAGAGAACCACTCAGGTCACACACATCTCATCACAGCCACCGAGAAGATGCATCTAGGGGGGAAGACCATCCCGAGAGGAAAAGCTCTACCCCGAACAACCCAAGAACTTGAATCCCGCTTGTGGTGACCTGCAAACTCCGCGCAGGTGACACCATCTCCAGGCACGACGCTGTGCAAGCTTATCCCACAGCCGGCGCCTCCGGACGAGCCCCCGCGGACCGCGAGCCCCACGCCTCCAGGAAAGTCCCAGTGTCAGTCATCACTGACAGGCCCGGAGTCCAACAAGACCCTGACATCCCTTTCAACAGCGGAGACTACGGACAAGGCTAAGACAAGACAAACAAGACCCCCGATCACCCAACACCCTTTCCCTCCTGCACAAGCTAACTGCGCACAGCCGGCCCGAGGTCGCCGAGGGCTGGGCCCCCAGCCCCGGGCCATCATCCCTGAGCTCACCGCCGCGCAGGGCCGGGGAACACCTGGACTCAGCCCCACACCTGGAACCCCAGCCTGGCCACCGATGCCACCTAACCCCCCTGCCAGGCGGGATGCGGGGCGCCCGGACCGCACGGCCCCGCCCCCGGGGTGGGTGAACGCCGCCGCCGCGCCTCTCCCTCTCCCTCCGCCCAGTCCCACGCGGACAGTCCCAGGTCGCGTCCCCGCCCCGGGACGCCGGCGCCGGCGCCCCCTGCCCGGCGGGGAAAGGATACAGTCTCGGCTCCAGAACGCCGCGGCGCCGGCGCGGGAGGGGCGCGCCGCGTCCGCCATCTTGAAACAACCGCCACTCGGGGCGTCGGGCCGGGGCCGCCCCGCCCCGGATGCCAGGCGCCGCTCCCATTGGCCGCTGGGCGCGGAGGTCCGCCCCCTCCTGCGCGGCCGGCCCCGGCGGGCCGGTAGGGTCCGGGCGGAGGCGTCGTCGTCGCCGAGACCCGGCGGGTCGGAGGGAAGCTCTGGCCTGGGCCGGGGGCACGAACGCCCCGCGGATCTCCTCTTCGCTGAACAGCCCGGGCCGCCCATCGCCGCCGTCGTCGCGGCCTCCGCGCCGAGGACTACAACTCCCGGCATGCCGTGAACGCGATGGCCGAGGCGCGGGGGCGGGGCCCGGCCCTGCGGCGCTCCCCGCTCGCCCGCTCGGGCCCCGCGGCTGCCCGGGCGGCGCGCGGAGCGGGCTCGCGAGCCATGGAGGAGCCTTCGCCCGCCGCCTCGGCCCAGCCCGCGGGCTCCTGCAAGCCGCACCTGGAGAAGCTGACCCTGGGGGTGACGCGCATCCTGGGTGAGTGGGGGGGCGGCGTGCCCTGCGGCGCGGGGGCGGCACCGCCTTGCACGCCGGTGGGCATCGCTGCTGCTGGCACTCGCGTGGCCGAGGAGGAAAGGGCGAGCTTGGCAGGGGGTGTGGGGATGCAGAGTTGGGAAGCCCGGAGGAGGAAGAGGTTCTCGCACCCGAGGTCGCCCCGCAGGCCCCGCAAAGGTGGGCAGAAACGTTGCAAAGGAGCAGCAGGCACCTGACAGGTGTGAGTTCTGGGCGGAGGGAGGCCCCGGAGAGCCCTGGGAGCTGGGAGAAGGCTGCAGCCGCCTCCGGGGGCAGCAGAGCCTGGCACTGCCGAATGGGCGTGTCCGTGATCGCACCATTAGTTAGCCACCAGCGCGATGTCCCTGGGACTACAAAGGTGAGGAAAAGTGAACACATTCATGGTGGTGGTGGTGGTGGGGGGGGGGGGGATGTAAAGACGAGGGCCCCAGAAAGTGAGAGGAGCTCGGCGACCTATTGTTCCGAAGCAGCACACAGGAGTGGGTGATTGGCCTCATCTGGGGCTGGAGGAACATTGGCCACACGTGACGCTGGATTTTGCAAGACCAGCGGGATGTAGTGAGATAGCCAAGAAAGAGAAAGGCAGGCTAAGCCCGCAGGACAGCGTGATGGGGTGTCCTGCCGTCACATTGATTAATATAATAAAAATCCAAATACTGAACCTATGACCCAGGCCCTTGTGAATTTCCCTCATCGGCCTTTCTGGTTTTTCTGTGTTTGTTTTGTTGTTGTTGTTGTTGTTTTGTTTGTTTGTTTTTGTTTTTGTTTTTGCCTTGTTGTACCATAAACACGTTGAGCTTTGCAGTTTGTGAGACCCGTCACTGAAATTGCCTTTTTCCTAAATCTCCCTCGTGTCATTCAGATCTGTGGGTCACAGAGCACCACCTCCGTGAAGTCTTCTCTGATTATATACAACACCTTTCCTTATCACTCTCTTGTCCCTTAGCCTACCTTTTTTAAAAACCCTTATGGCTTTACCACGTCTTGGAATTGTGTATTTATCTGGTTACTTTTTAAAGTTGCCTGTCTCTTTTCTGTAATAGAAGTCCATGAGGATAGGAACTGTATTTCCCAGCGCCTGAAACAGTCAATGAGATATGAAACACCAAGCTGTGGTTGGGAGAATTGATAAATTTTAGCAACGAAGTTATCGAGTGGGGCAAGGAGAAATCTAATGACCACCACCTATCTCCTATCTCATTGTCATGCAGACTTCTGCTCTGTTTCTTACACTCCTGGTTAGGGAGGTCTTGGCTATTTTACAGGCTTGCTTCATTATTCTCTTTATAAATCTAGGACTTTTTCAGTAAGTAAGTTTTCTTTTGATTAATGTTTAACCCACTTAAGTCCAGCTATCTAAATAATCCTTTAAACTGTCAGTTCAGTGTAAAGACCTGAGTAATTAAATGACTGTAAACATTTTAAATTCTATTTGTACTGTTAATGTATTCTATTACTCTTTTCAGATGTTTGGCAAATTGGTAGTTCAAAGCTAAACCTACCTAAGGAATTAAACAACTCTGGTAATTAAATGTACGACGAATCTAGCCTCCCATTAAGCATTCTCTTTATAAGTTTAATCAAAGCTCATAATTTCAAGTTAATCACAAATTGAAAATCAATTATATTTTTATTTTTTCACATTCGTATTTTGTTTTGAAAAGATAAAATATTAAGAGGATTTTTTAAAACCAAGTAGCTAAAGTAAGCAACCCCCCCCCCAATCTCCTTCCTAAAAATATGAAATAACTTCACAACTGCAACATTTCTGTCCAAAAACAAACATTTAAAAATCCTCAACAAAATACTATCAAACTAAATTCACCAACATTAAAAATATTATATACCCACTGTGAGTTAGCCCAGGAGTGTGCAGCTTGTGGAACATATGAAAACCAATATAGTGCACCTTGATAATAGAATAAATGACAACTACCACATAATCATGTCAGTAGGTGTAAAGAAAGCACTTGAAAAAATCCAACACTTTTAGTTTAAAAAGGAAACACTCAAAACCTAGAAGTAGGTTATCTAAGCATCATAAATAATAATTCCCCTTTTACCACTTCTTTTCAATATTGGATTGGAGAATCTAGTCAGTACAATTAGCCAAGAAAATAAAGTCATACAAACTGGAAAGAAGGAAATAAACTATGTTATTTGTAGATAACATGACCTTGTCTATTTATTTTTTATATTTTATTGATTTTTTAGAGAGAGGGTTAGAGAGTGAGAAACATTGATGAGAGAGAGTCATCAATCAGCTGCCTCTTGCACACCCCCCACCGGGGATGTGTCCGCAACCAAGGTACATGCCCTTGATCAGAATCGAACCCGGGACCTTTCAGTCTGCAGGCCGAAGCTCTATCCACTGAGCCAAACCGGTTTTGGCCATGACCTTGTCTATTTTAAAAATCATAATTCACAAAAACAAACAAAAGAAACCCTACAATCAAGTGTAAATTTGGCTGTCATTTGGCCATGATTTTTAAGTCAGGTGGAGTCCACTTTCTCTGATCTGAGTGCATGCACCTGTCTGTTACAGAAATGTCTGAGAGCGGCCAGTAGCAACTCTACAGGCTCTCATTTTCCTCTTTCAGAATCATCTCCAGGTGTGACAGAGGTGACCCTCATGGAAAAGCCACCTGCTGAACGTCACATGATCTCTTCGTGGGAACAAGTAAGTGTTGCTCTGTACAATTCTCATTTTCCAACAAAGGTCAAATTAAGTGCTCCTGAGAAGGAAAGATTAGGGCAGGAAACTATTCTTATCCAAGTTAGAGTTCACCCTTCTCTCTCTTCTGTTCAGGCCACTTAACACTCTCTTCCATTCTATGCCATATCCCAGCATGGGTCATTGCCTCTGAGCCTGTCATGTGGAGGCAGTGGAACATTCAGAGTTTATACAACAAAACTAAAACTCCAGCAAGGAAAGGAAAAAGTAAATGTCAATCCCCATGCCAGCAGAAGTGGTTAGTGTTATGGAGAAGTGCTAACCAGATTAATAGCTACTGCTTCCCAACCCTCCTCAGAACTTCCATTCATTTATTCAACAAAAGTTTAAAGCTTTTAAGATGGGCCAGGCATTGTCCTTGGTGCCGAGTCCTGGGCAATCAGTGGTAATAAAAAAGAGCACCCAAATTCTCCGGAGCAGCCGCGGGTGGGCAGGCTGCCACCAGGGTTTCAGGTTAATTTGCATAATCACTCTGGCTGGTAGCATAGTGGAGTGATGGTAATTTGCCTATTTCTCTTTTATTAGTGTAGATTTCAAATGTATTAAATAATAGATTTAGCTGATTTTTTTTTCTATTTTCATGATCTGAATAATTTTTTAAATATTGGAATAAATGCCAGTTTTTTTCTTCAGTGAAATCAATACCATAATAAATTTTATAATCTCTGCTTCTAGAATTCTTCAGCATAACTTAAAGTTTAACAATGCCAGCAGCTCTTCTCAGGTGAGATCTCATAGAATCCAGGTTAGGAAAGGCTCATAGGCAGTGGTTTCCTGTGTTTACCACTAGATGGCTCTAGTGACCAAAATCACAGCGGATACTGGCCTTCTGAGGGATAGAAGGCACATGAACTTCTTTGTCAGGACACTGGTATCTGTAGGCTTCCTGTGCTAGGGTGGGGGAGGGGGAAAGGCATTCTGGATGCTCACTTTTCCTCTCTGAAAGCACAGACGATATGCCATGGAGGAGGCAATAATATACTAAGTAAGGGTTTGATTGGCTAGAGACATGGATGGGCATGTGCACGGATATGAGTAATTTAGAATTTAGAGTATGTTCCTAGTACCTCCTGAAATTATACTAAGCTTGTTCTACCACCAGTTTGGATGATTTGCTGTCCATATAAAATATTTGTTTATATCTTATTGATTGTACTTTTTGACTTTCAGAACTATTCATTTCACTACATTAAATGTTCTAGAAGTAGATAGAGCATCAGCCTGCGGACTAAAGGGTCCCAGGTTCTATTCTGGACAAGGGCACATGCCCAGTTGCAGGCTCAATCCCCCCCAGTAGGGGGCGTGCAGGATGCAACCAATCAATGATTCTCTCATCATCGATGTTTCTCTCTCCCTTCCTCTCTGAAATCAATTTTAAAAATAAAGGTTCACATTTATCCAATAATTTGTTTCAGAAAGTAATTATGAGCATGGGTCTGAAGTTTTGGTAGTGATTGCCTTGTTCCGACATTACCCAAACTTTGCCACAGATCTCCTCTCACACCAGGCTCCTCTGAGTCTCCGCCTCAGCTTGTTTTCCTTGAGCAGCCCCTTCTCCGAGCAGCTAGCTCTCCACTGAGGCATTATCACGCAGAGCAGATACCTGCTCTGCCTTATCAGGTGAGACAAGTATCAAACTGGTGACTGCTCTAATAGACTCTTTTTATTGAGATATCCTATCTAATAAAGAGGGAATATACAAATTGACTGTTATCCTATCTAATAAAGAGGAAATATGCAAATTGACTGTCATGCCGCAACAAAATGGCTGTGCCCCCAGTGAAGGCTGAGTTCCCGTAATAAGCCTTAATGAGCAATCACCAGGGACTTGAGGCTGTGTGGCACTGGGCCCGGGGCGGGGGACCTCAGGCTGTGCCCCCACCTAGCAGGGCTTGATGGAGGATCTCAGGCCATGCCCCTCTCCCTATGGCCAGGCTGGGGGACCTCAGGCCGCACCCACCCCACCCACCTTGCCCAGGCGCCAGGCCAGAGGACCTGAGGCCATGCCCCCACCCTTTCACG